GGTCTGACCTTCGAGCACCATCACCACCACCTGTTTCCTCCAAGCACCTACCTCTACCTTGGCCTCAGCTCCTCTCTCTGCCTTCGCAAATGAGGCAGGAAAGGAGATCGATACCTTCTTTTGCCGTGGGTCCATGCCTCGTCCCACGCTAAGAAGAGAGGCTGGCTTTGTATTGTATTTGTATTTGTTGCTCACCTCCGGGTTTGTTGTGAAATGAGGTGGATGCTTTGGCTAGAAGTCCAGGGGCTTCCCCAAGAAGGCGTGCTTCCCCAGGAGCCTGACACACCAGCTCTCCTCTGTCCCCTCCTTCCAGGCAGGGAGCCCTGCCTCTTCCTGGGTCCCCCTGCTCTGCCCTCTGAGGACACACGTGTGAGCGTGCTGGGTTCCGCAGCAGACTGCGGGGTTGCAGGGAGAAGTCACAACGCACCCTGAGACCGCTCAGGACGAGGGGCAGTCCCTCAAGCCTCCTTGCCTTGGTGGCCCGAGCCTACAGGGTCCCCAGCCTTCCCCTCACCTTGTCCCTCTGCCCCTCCCCACCCCCCAGGACTGGCCGGGAGCCCATCCAGGTGCCCGGCAGGCGGAGGCCTCACCTGCACCTTGCAGGGCCCAGGTCTCCAGGAGGCGGTTGAGGTTTTAAAGCATATTGTTTCCCTGATACGAATACCGAGCTCAGTTCAGTGCCTGACACGCAGGGCCCTTTGCCTGTTTTTCTTTCCTTTTCTGATGCTTACAAATCCCCCGATCTCGACCGTCTGTGGTTCTCAGTCGAGTGGCTCTGTGTCCGTGCCCTTTGGTAGCCGGCCCTTGGCTGTGCACCTAGTGGCTCCTAGGCCTGGGCTGTGCGCTCCTTCCGAGCCACCACGCACGGCCCGCGCTCTGGAGGTGCTCTGGCCCCCACTTTGCGAGCGAGGACCCCCAGGCTACCCAGGGGCTACTTGCTTCCTCTCACTCTGCCGGCCCGCCTGTCATTTAGGGACCATCTTCCTGTGGACCTTCTGGCCCAGCTTCAACTCTGCGCCCACCATGCTGGGGGATGGGCAGCACCGAACAACCCTGAACACGTACTACTCCCTGACCGCGAGCACCCTCAGCACCTTTGCCTTGTCCGCCCTCGTCGGGGAGCACGGCCGGCTGGACATGGTGCGGGAGAGGGCGCTGGGGGGCGCAGAGGGACGGGCGGGGGGAGGACCCTGCGAGGCCCGGTCTGCTGCAGGGGAATAGGACAGGGCGCAGGCACGGGGCAACAGCTAGAGGCAACCACACAACAGCAGGAGAGTTTGCGATCAGACGGCAGAGGGACTTCCGGTGGACACTGCGGTGGACGGGGTGGGGTTGGATGGGGGCGTCGACCTGGACCGGCCCCCGATGCCCCGCTCCCCTGTGCTTCCCCAGGTTCACATCCAGAACGCAGCGCTGGCCGGAGGGGTCGTAGTGGGGACATCAGGTGAAATGATGCTGACGCCCTTTGGGGCCCTGGCAGCCGGCTTCCTGGCTGGGACAGTCTCCACGCTGGGGTACAAGTTCTTCACGGTATAGATGCCTCTCGGGCCCCGGGCAGAACAGGGGGTCCCCCAGCACCTGTTGCCCCCGTGTCTCCAGCAGCCTGGCGTGGGGGGGGGGGACACAGGACTCATTACTGGTGTCCTGTCCTCCAGCCTGTCCTTGAGGCGAAATTCAAACTCCAAGACACGTGTGGCGTCCACAACCTCCACGGGATGCCTGGGGTCCTGGGAGCCCTCCTAGGGGTCCTTGTGGCCGGGCTGGCCACCCACGAAGCTTATGGAGATGGGTGAGTCCTCCCCACCCCTGACCCTCACC